CTAAAAAATATTTAATATTAATAACATATTTAATAATATACTATATATTAAATATTATATATAATATAAAATATTTATCTCTTTTAGTTTAAGTGCTCTTTTTACCATATAATAAGTAGAGTTCTATCTAGTTTTAACATCTACAATTAATTCAAGTTTACTTGAATTATAGTTCATAAACTTTTCTTTTATATTGTGTTATACATCGTTACAGTTATATTTGTTTTGTTTAATCTGTTTAGTATTATGCACCATTACGGTTTTTTGTTTTTGTTTAATTTATTAGAGATAGAAATATATAATATATGTAATTTTTTTTTAAAAATATTGTTATTTTTGAAATTTGATTTTTACAAATTAATTTTAATAAATCTATCAATTTTAATAAACTTTAATCTTTTTAAAAATTTGAATATGTCACAATCTTCACAATCTTCTGTTAATATAAATGATAATTTTGAAAATAATACTGTTGAAGATAATGACTATGAAGATAATACCTATGAAGATAATACTATTGTTGAATCTAATATAGAAACTGATACTATTGCTGAATCTAGTAGTTCTCAAGATATGGAAATTGATTTTAAAGATATAAATAGTTTTGAAGATATAGATGTTCAACCAAATTCCAGAAAAACAACAAGACTACTTCCAACTGTTTATAAATATTATAGATATAATAGAAGAACAAACCAATTTAAGTGCAAGCTTTGTTCGTAAGTTTTATATTACATTATATTATAGATTTAAATTTACATTATTTTAATAAATAAAATTTAAAAATAATTTTTTTTAAATTAGAAAAAAATATAAAAAGCTATCTGATTATTCAACTAGTACTTTAAAAAAACATATTAGAAATATCCATCAAATTAATTTGGCAGATTTAGAAGTTAAAAAATATCAAAATGTAAAATTTTTAAATATTTAATATTAAATTACTATATTTTATTTAACAATTTTTTAATTATTAATATATTTTTTTATAGAATTATAAACAAGAAGAATTTACTGATAAAATAGTTAGATGGATTGTTATGAATGATCATTCTTTCACAATTGTTGAGGAATATGAATTTAAAGATATAGTTGATTATCTTAATAATAGAGCAAAAATATTTTCAGCTGATACTATTAAAAATAGAATTATGTCAAAGTTTGAAATTGAGCAAGAAGAAATCAAAGATAAATTACAAGTATATTTTAACTTTTTAATTTTAATTTATTTTATTATTAAATAATTAATTTAATTAAATTTTTAGAATTTATCTTGTAAAATTTCTTTAACTCTTGATATTTGGTCTTCTCCAGTTCAAGATTCATTTTTGGGAATTACTGCTCATTAGCTAGACAAAAATTGGAAAATAAATCAAATTACAATTGAATTTGTCAAATTAGAAGGCATACACTTAGGAGAAAATATAGCTAATATTTTATTTGAAATATTAGCAAATTATAAAATGTTAAATAAGGTTTATTTTATTTTTATTAATTATTTTATTTTTTTTTAATTTATTAATAAAATTTATTTATTATTTTATATAGGTCTTAGCAATTACAACTGACAATGCTGCTAATAATAACAAAATGTTTGAATATTTTACTAAATTATGTTTAGAAAAACAAATAATATTTGATGAAGAAAATTATAGAGTTAAATGTCTTGGGCATGTTATTAATCTTGCTGCTCAGAATATTTTAAAAAAACTTAAAGCTAAAGGTTCAAACCAAGATGAAGATATATTAGAAAAAAAAGAGAATATTAATTCAATGACTCCAATAAAAAAGGTAAATAAATTATAATTTATTATTAATATTTAAATAAAATTTATTAATATATTTTTAATAAAATATTATATAGCTTCGAAAAATAATTACTTATGCTCAATCAGCACCACAAAGAAAAGAAAAGTTTATAAACTATAATTCAAGTAAACTTGAATTAATTGTAGATGTTAAAACTAGATGGAACTCTACTTATTATATGGTAAAAAGAGCACTTAAACTAAAAGAGGTAAATATTTTATATTATATATAATATTTAATATATAGTATATTATTAAATATGTTATTAATATTAAATATTTTTTAG